TGCACTTTTCAATAAAGTTTATTCATGACGAAGCATTATTTAATGTAATGTTATAGTGATTTTGTTATATATATATATTTTTTTTTCTATATTATGTATTTGTTATGAGTTTTAGTGGCTAAGGAGCCTGACTGTTACAATTGTTTGGAAGTACAATTTGATATTGTTGGATAATGATGTGTTTTTTTTTTTTGTTTTTTTTATCTTGTTGATCTACGGGGTGATTTTAACTAATTTTGTAATCTATTACAATTTGTAGTTGTCTGTGATGTGGGGCTAATTATGTACTCCTAATGAGCTTAATTGTTTACAGATGGAGTTCTGTGGAGTGGTCATGTACGCATTTAAAAAGAGATGTTTTTGAACATTTTGTATACTCCTGACGAAGGTCGTGTGACCGAAACGTTGTGTGTGAATAAACTTGATTGAAAAGTGCAAGTAATGATAGTGTGCGGGAGTTCCTTATCTGCTTGAATGACTAGCTGGTCTTATTATCCGACGCACCTATCACCTGCAGGTGTGTGATGGAGTTTGGTTACTAAGTGAAATGGAATGTAAAAAGGATACATTGTCGGACGGTGCTAGCTTGCAGGGCGGCTGAAGGTGGCAGACGGCCGGCTTTTTCAGACTCCAAAGTTCGCTAGAAGGGGCCTTTTCGACGGCGACGGCTTCTTCTAAGACAGCGGAAGCGTGTAGCTCGCTGAAGAATGAAAGAATCGTTTTAACAGCCTAGGGAAAGCATATTTATACACTCAAGCCACGCCCCTTTCGGCGGGCTCTGACGTAATGAGCGAGCGCCTGCCGCTCATTGGGCGCGGGTTCAGCGCCGGTCTCCCATAGACTCGTGCATTTCTCTCTGAACGAACCAAGTGGAAACGCGACTGGCCCTGGCACGCACTAGCACGGCCCGGCAGTGGAAACGCGGCTAATGAGCTGCTAGTTAGCCCGCTCATGGTCTGCCTCAGAGGAACTGCGTTGACAATTATTACAAAATTATGGAATAATTTTTTGGCTTCAACTTCTCAGCAAAGATGAATCTTTCCCATTGCGTAAGCTAGCTTAGGCAATACGAGAGCACCTCTCAGAAGAGAACCAACGTTTTGCTGACATCCCAAAATAACATTTACATTGAAAACTTTTTAATGGAGAAGTGAGCAATAAACCTTACAGTGCAAACAAATACCCCACAGTTCACACCATCTCAATACAAACAGTCCAGCCGTCCAGTGACCCATGTTTTTGAAAAGCTTCTCTTAACAGATTTTAGATTAAAACCGACACACATCTTCTATATATTGTTATACAATTTTAAACTAATTCATGTTTTCATACTACGCTGGAAAAGATGAGAAATAATTCACCTCAGAATCATTAATGAATTACCTCAGGATCTCCATGTCAATACTTTTTATAGAATTGTAGATCCTCAATGAATCATAAATATGAAATTGTTTTACACGGACATAAAAACCTGTGAAATTATCCTATGAAAAGTTACAGTCAGTATATGAAGAAAATGTTACAGCACTACTTTCTTGCAGACCTTACCAACAGTGTAAAGTGGTTTCCTAGTTCTGGTATACCGATACTGAACACAAACACAGACACACACACGCAAAAATGAATATGTGGATATATAATATATGGGAAACCCCTCTGTTGTTATACATTTAGTCAAGTATACCTGAAAATCTTGACCTTGAAATGGCTTTGATTTGTGTTTGCAAATGATACAAATTTCTGTAATGATGAGACACAGTATTGAGATAACATTTTAAAAACAGTTGTATTACTTGATACACGAACTACGCTTGTCTGTTTCCTCATCTAGCCTACACCAATTAATAGGTGTCCATGTCACCCTAGGTGCACATCTTTGTTGGACATTCTTTGAATGTCCACCAAGAAGGTATTGTCGATCCGCTGGTTGTGCAGAGGGAAATACAGCCGAAAGGCTAAAATGTAGTGAATGTCCTTCAATTGGCAGAGGAAGCAAGTACCTGAAGTTGAGATTACAATATAAGTGAGATCTGGCAAAGGGTTTATGGTCCTTTTGCCTTTTTTTTTTATGAGGTCAGAGGGAGAACCTTTCACAAGTTCAAGCGAATCTGTTAGTTGTTTTGTCTTTATGTATATCTGGCCCCATATAGATTTGAATGGTATTCACTCAATCCTGCTGCACTTTCTGTAAAAGTTGTAGTTATAATAAATATTCAATTATTTTTCACTTGAGATGCTGAAGCTCTATTGTTTTTGACATGTTCACTTTTACTATTTTTATGAATACATCAATTTTTTAGGCCTTTGCCATGCTCGAACATTAGACCTGTAAAAACTTTAAAAGTTATGTGGTGCTTAGTCTTGGGCATGGTCGAAAGGGCTTTATAGAACCCCCCAAATGCAGGCTGTGAGTAATTTGTTTGTGGGAAAGTTTCTCAAATGGTGATGACATTATAGGGGACAAATGGTGCGTTCAAGTCCTCCTTGGAAGTTCGTACTAGGTATGTTCAAGTCGCTTTCGTCTGAGTAAGATGGCGGTGTACTTTCTCTTGATTAAACAAAAATACAGCAAGGTTCTAAAACTCTAGTACAAGAAAATGAAGAACAAAGAAATATGCATCAGGCACTTTGTTTTATTGTTTTTATTTAATTTATGAAGCCACTGCAAACTTTATCATTACATTGTGCATTGTTATATTATAATGCAATCATATTCTGTTCAAGCAATTAACTTTCTTCGCTGTAAATAGAAAAGCCTGACAATATCACTGCTAAATACCTTTAAGTATTGTGGTATTCCGCCATGTCACGCCCCCAACTCGTAAAGGTCGGGGCTTAAAGAAAATCCTGAGCTTCCCACTCGTATTTACGACATTGTAGTGGCGTTCAACTCGTAAATACGTTCTTTACAAGGTGACTTGAAAACCAAAAGTTTACTTGGTTTTATCTGACTCCTCCCAACAGAAAGTCAGCCATCTTGCTTGGAATCTGCGATTTTTAAATTTTACAAAAATCTAAAAACTTAGAAAAATTTGTTTAAACATACTAGGTACATACTAGTTTTGAGTTATTTTAGTAGTTTAGTTTATTTTTTAGTTCAATAACAAAAATAACTAAACATCAAACCATGCTTTTCTTGAGCACAATTTCAATCAATTTTAAATGTTGAGTTGTTTGATTCAAAAAGAGTAGCACATACAAAATGACATAAAAGAAAAGAATATTGAAAGGTTATTCAGAATGTATCAATATTCTTGATAAAAGCTTTGACAGGCAAACAAGTTTTTTGTGTGTTTTTGCATGAGATGGTCTGGTACACTGGCCTAACAAACAATGAAAAAAACTATTTAATTGGTGTTCATTTATTTAAAAATACAGAATATTAATATATATACACTCACCTAAAGGATTATTAGAAACACCATACTAACACTGTGTTTGACCCACTTTTGCCTTCAGAACTGCCTTAATTCTACGTGGCATTGATTCAACAAGGTGCTGAAAGCATTCAATGTTGGCCCATATTTATAGGATAGCATCTTGCAGTTGATGGAGATTTGTAGGATTTGTGGGATGATCCAATTCGAAATGATTCGAGCTTTGCGACATGGTGCATTATCCTGCCATAAGTAGCCATCAGAGGATGGGTAAATGGTGGTCATAAAGGGATTGACATAGTCAGAAACAATGCTCAGGTAGACCATGGTATTTAAACGATGCCCAATTGGCACTAAGGGGCCTAAAGTGTCCCAAGAAAACATCCCCCACACCATTACACCACCAGCCTACACAGTGGTAACAAGTTCTCATTCTGTTAATGCCAAATTCTGACTCTACCATCTGAATGTCTCAACAGAAATTGAGACTCATCAAACCAGGCAACATTTTTCCAGTCTTCAACTGTCCAATTTTGGTGAGCTCTTGCAAATTGTGGCCTCTTTTTCCAGCCTCTTTTTTGTAATGGAGATGAGTGGCACCAGGTGGGGTCTTCTGCTGTTGTTGCCCATCCGCCTCAAGGTTGTGCGTGTTGTGGCTTCACAGATGCTTTGCTGCATGCCTTGGTTGTAACGAGTGGTTATTTCAGTCAAAGTTGCTCTTCTATCAGCTTGAATCAGTCGGCCCATTCTCCTCTGACCTCTAGCATCAACAAGGCAATTTCGCCCACAGGACTGCCGCATACAGGATGTTTTTACTTTTTCACACCATTCTTTGTAAACCCTAGAAATGGTTTTCCGTGAAAATCCCAGTAACTGAGCAGATTGTGAAATACTCAGACCGGCACGTCTGGCGCCAACAACCATGCCACGCTCAAAATTGCTTAAATCACCTTTCTTTTCCATTCTGACATTTAGTTCAGAAGGAGTTCAGGAGATTGTCTTGACCAGGACCACATCCCTAACTGCATTGAAGCAACTGCCATGTGATTGGTTGATTAGATAATTGCATTAATGAGAAATTGAACAGGTGTTCCTAATAATCCTTTAGGTGAGTGTGTATATATCACACTCTTGGCTTTGTAGATCAGTTATCATTGTTGGGTGTTCTGCATCAGGATGTCTGTTTGATCATCTGAACATCTGACCTGCTTTAGTTGAAGCGGTCATGTTGGTCTATAGAAATGCACTAATTTCTCAAGATGATCAACCTTTAAAATTGCGTGTACCTCATCCTCACACAGGATATACCCAAGCCCGTACCCAAACATGGAACTCAAAAAATAAAATTGAATTTTGCTATTGCGAAAACAATATTACTGCAATTACTAAAACCATTTTGTTCATAATTTAATTCAGCAACAATGTTTTACTAATGTTTCCTGATGATTGTCATGGTGTTCTAAACAAGGTAGTTCCACTTTATGGTGAGTGCTCAGAAAGGATGCTTTCAAGCCTGAAAATACCAGTCTTAATATTGATTAAAAAATAAATAAACCTCTCAAGTCATGGCTTAATGAACATATTTGTCTCTTCATATAATAAAAGAGGAGATGTGGACCACAATTAAGTTATAGTCAAGTAGTATGACTTGGATTGGATCTTTTTAATATATAGGACAAGCAGAACATAACTTTAAATTTGAAAATCGTGCCCTTGTTGATCCGTCAGTCCCATTCATCCTCGTCTCTGTCCTGGTTGTCCTCCCACTGAGGTTCACGAAACTGGATGTTAGCCAACATGTCCCTCATGGCCACCATTAGTCTATTCACTTCCTGGTTCAATTCATGGCCTGCACGGGCAACTTCCTGTCTGTCTTCAGGCCTCTGAACATGGAAAAAAAATCATTAGCAGATGCAAACCATGCTTTTCATTTTTTCTTAGCTGGCATAAAAAAACATAGCTTTTATAGCCAGAGGAAAAAGGAATTCAAAGATTACATGACTTGACAATAACTGTAGGTATTTTAGTGTTAAAAATAATGGGCTGTTTTTTGTAGTCCTTGATAGGATTGCTTATGATAGTAGAACACACACAACTCACACCTAAACACACCTATATATTATTCAAGCATGTGTAACTAGTAGAATATATTCACAAACTGTTCTTAAACACACATTAACTCAGCATAAACAAGGAAGCAACCCCTTTTTCAGGATACTGTATTTTAAAATTATTGCACATGCACTTGTGGAACAGTCCAATGACGGTTTACAGGTGGCAGGCAATTATGGTCACAGTTACAATAGCTTTGGACACTAAAGAGATCCTTCCACTGACTCCAAAAAACACCAAAAGAAATGCAGATATGGCCAGAGCAATAAACTGCAACATCATCTTATGTAAGACACCTAAGACAGGGCTATAGGGAGACCGAAAAGACAGCTGATCATCCCTGCAGTGGCAACACATGTGTAACCATATGTCCCCCCCCCCGAAGTGTTTAAAAACTAGAAAATGCCTTTGTGGAAGTGTGGGACAACGTGTCACAGCAACAACTGGAAAATCTGGTGTAGTCCATCTTTTGCCAAGAAATTCTGCAGCAGGGGATTGACATCTCAAATCATTATCAAGGCTACAAAATCAACTTGTTACAAATATGGTAGACCTATCACTTCTACCAATAAAGATTGATTTGTAAATAATCTTCATGATTTATCTCTACCTGATTTGTCTCAACTAAACAAAAAAAAAAAAAAAAAAAAAAAAAAAAACTTGCAACAGAAACTATGGACTCACTTTTGTAGCACTTTAGACATAGTTGCTCCTTTGCGCTTAAAGAAGATTAAAGAGAACAGTCCAACAGTATACAGTGGGTACGGAAAGTATTCAGACCCCCTTAAATTTTTCACTCTTTGTTATTTTGCAGCCATTTGCTGAAATCATTTAAGTTCATTTTTTTCCCAACAAGTTCCATGTGAATTAAAGCTGCAAGCAGCGATGGGCGGGCCCTCGCACCTGTAGCGCGTCAGGGTGTGAGGCGGCCGATTTGCATATTCTGCAGCTCAGCCAGTGCGGCTGTGCATTTGCCACGCTGCTTCGTTAAAGGGGTCACTTCCTGTTGCCAGCAGGAGGCGCTATGACCGTGGGTGAATATCGGCATGTAGATTTTTTTCAGAGCGGGACTCTTGTCAAATGTGTACAATTTGGTGCAGATCTGGGCATTTACAGCCAAGTTACTACAACTTCCTGTTTCATGGTGAATCTTCGACGCCATGGACACGCCCATGGACGAAAACGCGCAGATACCACAACTTTACATCGTCAATACCTTTAGAAGGCACAGCAGAAATGTGAAGTCAATCCAACTAAATCCCAAGGAGGAGTTATTTAAAGTATGTAATGGGTAAAGCATCCAAAAATGGCTGTAAAATTAAAAATGGCCGACTTCCTGTTGACTTTAGGGTATCGCTGTAAGAGACTTTTCTGTGCGTCTGGACATGTTAGATGTACCACAGAAATTTCGTACATGTCGGTCAAACATGCGACGGGTACTGCTTCGTTAAAGGTCACTTCCTGCTGTCACTAGGTGGCGCTATGACTGTGGGTGAATGTCGGCATGTAGATTTGTTCAGGGCGGGACTATTGTCAAATGTGTAAAATTTCGTGCAGATCTGGGCATTTATAGCCAAGTTACTACAACTTCCTGTTTCATGCCGAATCATCGACGCCACAGACACGCCCATTGACGAAAACGCGCAGATAGCACAACTTTACATCGTCAATGCCTTTAGAAGGCACAGCAGAAATGTGAAGTCGATCCGACTAAAGCCCTAGGAGGAGTTAGTTAAAGTAAGTGATGAGTAAATCATCCAAAAATGGCGGTAAAATTCGAAATGGCCGACTTCCTGTTGAGTTTAGGGCATCGCTCCAAGAGACTTTTCAGTGCGTCTGGACATGGTAGATGTGCCACAGAAATTTCGAACATGTCGGTCAAACATGCGACGGGGGCTGCTTCGTTAAAGGTCACTTCCTGTTGCCAGCAGGTGGCGCTATTACTGTGGGTGAATGTCAGCATGTAGATTTGTTCAGGGCGGGACCCTTGTCAAATGTGTAAAATTTCGTGCAGATCTGGGCATTTACAGCCAAGTTACTACAACTTCCTGTTTCATGGCGAATCATCGACGCCACGAACACGCCCATCGAGGAAAATGGGCAGATAGCACAACTTTACATCGTCAATGCCTTTAGAAGGCACAGCAGAAATTTGAAGTCGATCCGACTAAATCCCTAGGAGGAGTTTGTTAAAGTACTGAGTGTGTAAATCGTCCCAAAATGGGCGCCAAATTCAAAATGGCCGACTTCCTGTTGAGTTTAGGGTACGGGTTCTTGAGGCTTTTTTGTGCGTCTTGATATGATACACGTCCCCACCAAATTTCGTGTTTGTAGGTTGAACGTGGACGAGGGGCTAATTTTTTCCAATTTTCTAGGTGGCGCTAGGGAGCCATTTTGCCACGCCCATCCGCGAAACCCACAAAATACGAAATTTTTCACCAGTCCTGACATGCGTGCCAAATTTGGTGAGTTTTTGAGCATGTTGAGGCCCCGAAAACGGCGCTTACTTTGCAGAAAAAAGAAAAAAAAAATAACCCTAACAGTTTCAAGAGGGTCCTCGCACTGTTAGTGCTCGGGCCCTAAAAATAAATAAATAAACCTAACAGTTTCAATAGGGTCCTCGCACTGTTAGTGCTCGGGCCCTAAAAATAATCCTAACAGTTTCAATAGGGTCCTCGCACTGTTAGTGCTCGGGCCCTAAATATCACATCCTATGTATCCTATGGTCCTATGTATTCAGACCATTTGCTGTGACACTCATATATTTAACTCAGGTGCTGTCTATTTCTTCTGATCCTCAGGGCTGGACTGGGACAAAAAAATCGGCCCGGGCATTTTGGCCCAGGCTGGCCCACTGCATATGAACATAAACACAACTGAACTGTGTACACCAGCGGTTTCAACACTATCTCACGACCAATTCGTACGAATTCGACGCATGATTAAAAAGTGGCTAATTCGTACTAATTCGTACGACCTCACTCGTACTAATTCGTACGATTTGTCTAAACCCACGTGATGGTTAAGTTTAGGGGCGGGGTAAGGGGTAGGTCATTCGTACGAATTCATACGAATTGGCCAATTCGTAAAATATGTACGATTTAGCAAAATCGTATTAATTCGTACAAGTGAGGTCGTATGAATTGTTACGAATTAGCCACTTTTTAATCATTCGTCGAATTCGTACGACTTGGTCGTGAGATCGGGTTGGCGGTTTTCAATAGGTGAGGCGCGCCTCCCCTGGGGGGCGCCAAAGAGCGACAGGGGAGGCGCGAATCAGTTTATAATACGCGACTTTTTTTTTTTTTTTTTTTTAAGTCGCGTTAAAACAGCACGGCTTTCGGGTTGCGTTTTTTGGGGCTTATTAAAAAAAAGGTTGTTTGTTAGGAAAATCTGACAAGCAACTTTGTTTTCTTTACATCTATGGTGACGGTTGGCCGTTTTCTCAATCTCCAATACATTGACACTGTCTGACGGTGTACTTTTGCGTCCATTTTTTTTCCCTTTTTTTAACTCGTAATTAAATTACGAAAAACATGCTTTCTTTATTCGTTTTTAGACTGGTGAAACGATATTCACAAACTTTTTTTTTCTATATATACAAGGCTTAGATTTTTAACTTCACATTGGCCTATAAAGAAAGCCTAAAACAAAAACATTTCATAAACAGTTTAAGCTATAAAAAAATAAAACTTTATTAAAACATAAATAAATTATTTTATGATACACATGCCTAGCCTATTACTGTCTTAAGTGAACTCATTTATAAATGCCAATAATAATTGTCATTAATATTATTAGTCTACTAGGCTAGATTCGAAGACGCTTTTATCCAAAAAAATGTGAGAAAATGGGACGAGTGTCAGATCGCGTCTCTGTCAGCAACAGCTGTCCGAATTCGCTCACTCGTTTTTATTTACTCCTTTTCATTCACTCCTTCAAGTGAACAGTAGGCTATTAGTGGACTAACGTAGGGGTTTAGACTTTAGGGGGCGATTTCGGATTCATCAACCCATGATGTTCTCAAGCAGTGAAAAATAGTGGACACCTCAACGCGTCGACAGACAGGACCGTGCAGGTAATATTAATATGAAACAAAGTCTCAACTTTCAAATTTGGTCAGTCAAAGAAAATTAAAGGCCTACCGTTTTGTGGCTCTTTAATGTGTCGTGACAGATTGCCTGGCTGGTAAAGCCAAGTTCCACCGACGTTAATCTACTGACTCTCCTAACTCTATGACTGCTTTGTCGGACAAAAATTGTGGATTTTGATTGGTCAGATCACATGTCTGTCAATCAAACTCCAAGCGAAGGATGAATTGACTAATTTAAAAGTGAAAGTTAGTTTCGTTTTCAAACTAGCGCATATTCAAGGCACAATAACAAAACGGTTCTATTCCACACTACCGCACCAAGAATGTCCATTGATGCCCGTGAAAATGCGCGCATTTTACGTTTACCTTTAAATTAGCGATTTAAATGCCTCCACCGGTGACACCGTTAGCTATTACCGGTATTGTCACACGTCGATTAACCGGTGAGAAAATATCCTCACCGCGTCACATCCCTACTGCTCAAAAGCGCGGCCTCTCATTGTTCCCACTAATATGGACGATTAAATTGAAACTCACTTACAACTTGTTGTTTTGAAATTGAATGCATAAATTGGTTGGGCCATAGAGGTTTATTTTATTTTATTTTATTTTTTTATTGCTTTGCCGCTCTTGTAGCGCAAATGACATGAATGGCGCATTTTGTTTGTTTAAAAAGGT